CAGACTTTTGTCGTGCCCTAAAGTCTTAGGTACCCATTTAAAAACCCTCCTTCCCAACTGTCCAGTTATTCCTCTCAATCCCGAATAATCTCAAACGCCTGCTGTTTACAAGACCCATCAAATATCACTTAGGGTTTTACCAGCAAGTCCAAACAATCGGAAGTTACAGGACTTTTGAAGCCAAAATCCCCTTTTCACTTAGCCGCGTCCAATGTCCGCACACTATCAGATCAGTCAACAAGCCGTCTAGGACCCTTGAAACTTTCAATTTAGATGTATGTTGTCTCCGAAACACGCATACAAGACCCCACTTCCATTATCTCTCTTCGTTCTGATGTCTAACGCTGTCTTTTCCTGAAAGGTGTGCCTGAGAAGTTTATTTCAATATTATGATCCCTCTATACTCATAACCGAAGCTGAGTCCGAGCTTATGGTACATTTTCACCTGAGTTCACCACGGTGTGGTGTTTGACAGAGTTGCCCTCCCTCTCCCTTTCTATTTAACTTTGTTATAGATCTGATTATGGAAACAGCCCTATCCTCGTGCGAGGATAGTGGCATCAATTTACCCCCAGGTGGCTGGCTGTCTGATCTAGAGTATGCAGGCGACACTGCTACTAAGTGAAGATCCAGGTAAGTTGCAAGCGTTTCTGGAAAGTTTGAGTGCTAGTGTAGCCATGTTCGGTATGCGTTTTGCACCTTCAAAGTGTAAATCGCTACTACAAAACTGGGTTAGTCCAGCACCCAGTCTCACTCTAAATGGGGAANGAGCAAGTGGATAAGTTTTGTTATCTGGGCAGTTACATCTCACCCGGTGGACCTATCACGGATGAAGTGTCTGCTCGCATACAGAAGGCTCGGTTGGCATTTGCCAACTTGAGATATCTGTGGCGCCGTCGTGACACCCGGTTGTCTGTGAAGGGTCGAGTGTATGCTGCAGCAGTTCGGCCAGTTCTGCATTATGAAGCAGAAACTTGGCCATTACGAAAACAGGATAAAGATAGACTGTTAGTGTTTAAACGTTGCTGTCTACGCAGCATTGCAGGAATCTGGTAGGGCAGCCGGACGAGGAATGCTGAGGTCGGGCGAAAAGATTTAGGCAACCGCGGTCGCCCACTGGAGCAAATATCGACCCCCATAGATTACGTTGTCTGGGGCATGTGTTACGCATGTCACCAGATAGGTTGCCAGGGCGAACGATGTTTGCCGAGGCAGATAGTTGGTGGAATAAAGCCCAGGGTGGTCAAGCTAAGACCTGGCATGAGGGTATGAAAATCCTAACCTTTAGTCTGGGTCACATAGGTCCCGTTAGGCTCCCTGGCTGGAGACCTCGGGATGATCGTAACCGATGGTTAGCTACACTGAGTGATATGACTGGGTGTCGCAAACAGTGGCGTTCGTGCATCTCAATTTATCTGCATCCGTAGTCCTCTGAACGTTTCAATTTTCTCGTCGATCTTACAAACTTCTTGTGTTCCTCCTACTGTTCACCCAAAGACAGCAACCAAAAGCGTCGCACTGAAATGCATCCTTAATGGTTGTTTAAACTGAAACTGAAACTACGATCCTTCGCTCAGTATTTTATCATTGGCTTAAGATTATGCACTCAGTGTAACTCATTTGAGCATAGATGTACACTAGCCGTCGCACCACGTGCAAATGCAAGCTATTCGTGACGACTCGCCCAGTCTACATGATCCACTCTTCTCGGTTTGAATAGTCATAAATATAGTCATTTTATGGGCCTACTTCGTTTAGTCTTTATCCAGCGTACGTGTTTCGCTGAATGTAGGGAAATTGGCATCAGTTAGCGTGGTCTAAACACGGTAAATTCGACTCTCTAGTACCCAACAGTCCTTAAAACTTGAGCAATATCTAGGTTTTTGCCCGATACTTCTTCAAAAACAATATTGCTTGCGCGCAAGTTGGTCGTATCTTTCCCACAAATGTAGTGTGTGTTTGTGTGAAAACAAAATCAGAGAGGTCATTGTACGGTCAAATGTCGCGATTCGTCTCTTTTGTGACACATGTTTTTCACGCTCTTCGGTTAACCCGGATGACTAATGCCTCAAACCAAATACTCGCTGTTGCCCAGGTACAAATCTTAGTGGGTTCCGTAAACCGTACAGCTGTACAATACTGTTGTAACGTTGAGTTGAACGAAACGACCGGACTAACAAAAGCCGAGACCAACGATACGTGCGGCAGCTGTGACCCACGAGAAGAACCGTACGACTCAGCGGAATAGTAACGGTACCCGGTGCGCCCGACTGCTGTACCCCAACCGGACAGTAATGAGAGAAGCACCCCACGAACCAGTACGATCCCCGGAACCCGACCAAGGAGAATAGGGAGACAGGCCTTCAGGCGAGTTCGTATATTTGGCTCGGCAATCAAATTTAAATTTTATAAATATCAATGGGAAAATAGGAAGAAATGGTCACGTTTCGCGTGAGGAATGCGGTCTACATATCAAACACTCCCAAGACTATTCAGTGCTTAACTACTGGTTGGCTCCGCGTGAGGAATGCCTTACTATAAGAACTTCCTGCCAATGATCCTGAACGCCGACTAAAGTTTTGCACGTAGTACCCGACACACTTAAACCTGTGGCAAACAGTTTTTACGGATGAAGCCATTTTTGCACTTGAACGAAAATGTGACAAGCTCCATTCGTTGGGCCGTTGAAAACCGAAGACACTTTGTTGGATCAAAATCGCTTCATAGTCCCAATGTGTTAGTATGGGTTGGTATTGTGCACGGCAAGATTGTTGGGCGGTACTTTTTCAACGGAAATGTAACAGGAAAAAACGATTTTTGCTTATTAAATTGTTTAAGGCGCTTCAGATTTGCAAATGTTACAGGATAGTGTGGTACCAGCCATCCGGCGTATAGAAACTGAGGTTGGTACTACAGTTTGGTTCCAATATGACGGTGCACCGCCGCACAATGCTACGGTGGTGAAAGGTTTCTTCGACTCGGAATTTAACTGCAGATGGATTGGCGGAGGAGGACCAAAGGAAGGGCATCCAAGATCACCTGATCTGTTTCCCTTGGATTTCTTTCTGTGGGGATATCTAAAGTGAACAGTTTATTCCCGAAAACCGCGAACGGTCGAGGAGCTCAACAGAATATTGTGGCGCAGTGAGAAAGTATTCCAACTGCTACCATTCCGAAGGTGGAAGAAAACTATCTTCACTAGATTTTGCTATGCAAGCAGCAGATTGAAAAAAAGTAACAACTTTTAAAATATGAATATAATTTTTCCCCTAATATTTGTTCCTCCTTTCTTTCGGAATTCTATCTCCGATGTAGTTAGCGAGATCTTTCAAATCGAAAACTACCA